GTTTATCTCATAGTTTTTCCTTGTCCACCATTTCAGGAAGTGAAACCGAGGACGGGGAAACCACGGGAAGTGACGAGTTAGAAGGCTAGCCATTTTGTAAAGTGAATATAGATTTGAGATATAGATCATGATCTTGTATTTGGAGATTTTATGATATGAGAGGAAATTTTAATGATTTGATCTTCAGATTTTGGTGGTATCAGAGTGTGATATGATAAGTTCCGAGCCTTGTGCATTTGTGGGACTCGTCTCACGAGTGCACGGCGTCTGTAGCGCCTCGGATTTGGGTTCTGGGGCGTGACATATATGTAGTACTCCCTCTCTTCCATTATAGTTGTCACACTTTTTCTATTATGCTTAACATAAAAATGATTAAATTTCATAAAAATATAATGTGTGTATCTAATCTATACTTTTGAGAATGCATTTATTACCTTTTTTTTTTATTAATTATGTTGAAAAATGTAAAAGTTAACTTTATTTTTTAGAAAATGATTGGTATACTTTCTAGTTCAATGCACATTTCAACGTCCACCTAGTTCAATTATTAAAATATAAAATAAGTATAGTTAATTTAGTTCGTTTTTGGATGTCATATGCATTTGTTGTATCTTTAAGTTTGTCTACATTTAATTTCAGGCTATGAAATAATGATTTTTTTAATGAGTGTATTGTATAATGTTTTGAATTGAAAAGGGTACCAATAAGTATTTTTATTTTTAATATCAATAATTTTATTTTTAACACTAATGACATGTGCATGATTTTAATTAGATGGTTCGTAAAATTGAAGTAAACTTTTTTTTATTATTATTACAATTAATGTGGAAAATGTTGGTCCAGGTGATGGTGACCCAAGAAATGGTGAATTGGGTTTTTGAAAACTTATACAATTTTTATATATAAATTGATAAACAAATGCATGCAATCACATGTATGAATTAAAGTGCATAAATTAAAAAGAATAAGGGAAGAGAAAGCTTAAATACGATGATATATAGTGGTTTGGTTACACCTTGTGCCTAGTCCACTCCTCAAGTCACTTGATTGAGAGTTTGCTTTGGATTCAAAGCCTCTCTTTCAACTTCCAAGTAGAGAAAATCATTTGCAATGACTTTGTCAACACTATCCACCTTTGTCAAACTAACCCCTTGTTACAATTTCTTATAAATCCAATCCTTTACCACAAGGATTTTTCTAAATGTAACAAGGTTACCCAATCCTTCTCTCACTTTCTTGATAAAAGAGAATGAAGAAAACAATAATCACAAGAATATCAAAATCAAAAACTTAAGCATAAATAATATGAAAAGTTGTAACTTTGTTTCTCTCAAAGATGAAGCTTCTTATTTTCATTTTTCTTCCCATGATTCAACCTCCAATGTTGTCTATTTATTCTCCAAGAATGCTTAATTAAGACTTTTAGCCATTGCCCCAATTTGGAAATAATCAAGTTTAATTTGAAATTTAAAACTTATCTTTCAAACATTAGTTTCACAACATCTTCATAAGTTTTGGACCCATTTTTAAATTTCTTAGCTATTGGTGTTGAATGTGTACAAAAGTATTAGACCTTTTTATTTAGTGTTAGAACTTTTTCATTAAGTCCTATGAGCATAAAAAAAAAAAAAAAACAGTAATTTCAAAAGTTTTTGTATTTAATCTTATGTTGTAACTTTTTTTGAACATAAAAGAGTTTGAAAATAACAACTTAAAATGTTCTAAGCCTTTTTATTTGGTTCCACACCCTTTTGCATGAAGATGCATTGTGGAAAGCTTTTGAGAAGGAAACTCAATTTTTTTTGGAAATATATTTCATTCAATGGATAGGCAAGATATTCAATGTTATAAACATGATTCCAAAATTAAAATGCAATTACTTCCATAATAGTGAGAGATTTCTTAATATTCACTCTCCAAAGATGAAATCGAATAATCATATCCCAAACTTTGAAATCAATTCTTCGCATTTTAAATTCAAAGATAAAATAAAATAATCATATCTCAATCTTTGAAATTAACCCTTCACATTTTGAATTGAACTTTCATAGTCAAAATTTTTTTTAAAAAAATTAATCACATGATAAGTATATTAAAAATAAATCTACATTTCTATTAAATTTTGGCACATGAAAATTAAGGTCAAGAGAAAAAGTGTAATTAATGTAATCTTAACCTATGCAAACATATGTTAGTATGTTAAAAAAACCCTATTAAGGGATGACTTTGTATTGGTTGGAATTCACAATATGTGCAGTGCCACATCAATAAGACTGCGTCTTGTGACTAAAAGGGCCCACATGATCTATTTCTCTATTATATATGTTATATTCCTTTTTTTACTAATGACCACAATCAAGTTAGCATTGCTAGAAGTAGCACTCACCCACTTTGTTGGGAATATTATAGACATGATCTACTTCAACATTATTATCATGTACATGGCCAAACACAATTACATTTCTCTTTACAACATAACTGGATGTTTATGATGCTCATGATCTCTATGGCAACATTTGTTGCTACATCTAATTGGTTCTCAATAATAGATAAAGAGCCTATCTTGCTACATTTATATGGCTCTCATCAAAGGATAACAAGCTAATTTTATTACATCTATATAACTCTAAGTTATGGACAAAGGTCCAAACTTGCTATTTTACTTAGTCTTCGAGAATGAGGAAAAGGTTGCACATCTTTATATATTTTACTACATCAACTTTTGAAAATGGATAAAGGATCAAAGTTTTACACATTCTATTTTATTAGTTTTTAGAAATGTACAAAGAGTTAGTGCAACTCGGTACGATTAATGTGAGGTTGGTAATAGTTGCAACCTTGCAATTGGCTAGGATGGCTATCCTTTAATGATAAAAATCCATCAGGTTGTGGTTGGTAGCTCCTTGGTGGTCACCTGTGCATGGTGGTGTAGTGCCTGGTGGGTAAAAACAATTAGGACCATTCTCTAACAATGTGGGTATGTTCAAGAAAGGCCATTGTTATAGTGATTCTATCGTGGTATCAAACCTTGTTCATACTAAAGGCCATGTTCCATAGATAACACTTCACCCATTTTATTATATTTATCACTGTGTTAGAGTTTTGGCTTAACTAGCTGTATCCTCTTTGTAGCTTGGTAGATTACTAGGAATGCTCTTCCTTTGCTCCATGTAGTTCATGCTCTAACCATGGGCAAAGCAAGCTATTATTGTCCCTCTGGCTATGGAAAGCTATTGTTGGTTTATCTTACAATATATATAACATAATCAACAATCATACACATTATTATTCTTTCTACACAAAAGAAAAAAATTATTAGTTGCCGATAATCTTGATCTTCGGCATATTTGTACTACATTTTTATGTGCTAGCAAGTATCATTAGCCAGCAACGCTTTGACTCAATAAAATGATATTGTAGGACACACCCATATTGCACATTGTTTATCTTGGCACATCGCCAAACATACACAGCAATATTGCATAAGTGCTTCCCATGACAAATGAACAAAAAGGCATAATCATATTTGTTAACGCCATCCCCTTTAAAATACAAGGGAGTATTTTTTTTCTACAAATACTTACATATTTCACACTTAAATAGTTGAACAAATACTCATTCATATTTTTCTATTTGATGTAGATGACCACAAACCTATGAACCCAAGCTCATGGGGATTATTCAAGATAAATTATGGAAGTTGTGACTTGATAGGCATGGATGAATGAACGTTGCCTACCTAACAAAGTATAGTATTTGCACTAGCCAAACTTAGGGTCAACGATGTTGCACCTCTTCACTAGGAAGGGATAAGTGGCAAACATGTGGAGGCAAAACTTGATCCCAAAATTACATTGTTTGATGCTAACTAAAAGACCTGCAACCCCATTGAAAACCAATTAAAGGTGCCATTTGAGTCTCCATAACCAACCTGCAATTGTATTTAATGCTTGGACAACTACACAAGTTTCACTGCATGGGAAATAAGCAAAAGAGATTACATTTTGCTTGGAAAATTTACCAAAATCTTAGACAGAGGAAGATTTGTTGGCTGTATTCAATTATACACCAAATATGGAATTATGTATGTATATGAAGTTACTAATAATGGAAGGGCTCCAGTGGACTAACAATCTTTCATTGGAAATGTTGGAGATTTCATAATTATGCATCAAAAGCTATCATAAGTGCCCAAATCATCCCAAAAGTTAACACCTATTGTCACATAACTTAAATATAAAGTTGGATTATTGGGCTAATTTGCCTTGCAAACACAAAATTACCAAAATGCTACTACCTACATATATTTGGTTTTTTCCTTCATTTTCAGCAAAAAAGAATGCATTACATGCATGTTTACTCTTGAAAAATATCTTCATCTTCAACCTTTTGACTTTTCTACTAAAATTCTCCAAACTTGCTGCCACTTATTTCCTCTACATTTTCTAAGCTTACATCTACATATACACCCCCCAAAAACCTCCATTTCTTACATTTTTCTGACATTCCCAACCACACAAATTATTCTCTAAACTTACAGTTCATTATGGCCAAAAGATTTTATGTCATAACTTGAGGTTCTAGGTTATCTTTCTTGAGCATTAGAAGATCAACTAGTAGCAAAGTTAGCATCACAAAACAGGATTGAGTCATCCATCAAAAGCCCTAACAATGGTCATCCTTCCTTCTCCTATCATTACTTTGTAGTTTATTCTTCCCCCTTTTTTTTTTATGGTAGTTTGAAGAGGATTATTGCATTTTGAGCTCCAATATAATGGTTTCTTACTTTAGAGTTGGAGTATTTGTTAAGGTACTAGAGGCACATTTATTGCATTTATTATTATTCCACAATATATTTTGTATAAATGTGCCCCTTAAGTTGTAAAATTTGATGTTTATATTTTTTATCCTTACTATTTCTCACTATAATGTACATCACCCGTTCATTTTCTTTGGTGGTTGCGTAATTGTGGTCTTGAAACTCTGTCATCATCGCTCCACTCTTTTTGCTTGGCTAGATAAGCTATATTTTCAAAATCTGAGCATGTTTGGGTTAACTTATAAAAGTTTTTACTTTTTTTGTACTGTTCATGCGTGATAAGTTTAAATTTTTATTGGAGGGAAAATTTAAAAGTTGTTTTTAGATATAGTAAAAAGTGAGTAAAAAGGGAGTAAAAAAGGAGTAAAAAAGGAGTTTATAAAAAGTTTTGATTTGAAGCTTTTGAGCTTTTATTGTTTGAGGTTTTTTTAAGGTTAAAAAAAAGTTTAAAAATGTAAGTTTTTAAGAGGGAAATTTAAACTTATGAAATATGAATAGTGTTAAAAAGCTGAAGCACTTGGAAGCTGAACCAAACATGCTCTTTGTTAGAGAACCTTGCGCAATTCATCTTCACTAGATAAAGGGAGATGACTTGTGGCAATTAGCCTCCTACATGTGAAATAGGTGCAAGCTAAAAGGACCCTCCTTATTTCCCGTAGGAGGCATTTTAGTCAGCCTACACATCATCTCCGCTGCTAACTCATCAACCCCCAGCCCATAACAACCCCAAATATAATTATTATAGGTTAAAATTCCATATTTATCTTTAATGAGACTCAATTAATAGGAGTTTGGAAATAATTATTATATGTTATTAAAGAAGTGATCATGAAATTACATTGAAAATAGGGGGTCTTGGAACTCTCTAGTTTTTCGTAAAGGTGGGCATAGTTCGGTTTTGGTTAAAATCAAAACCAAATTATCGATTAACTAAAATTTTGGGTTTTAATTTTAGTAATCATTAACCAAATTACAAAAGATGAGTTTTATCAGTTTTGGTTATACTTTTGACATTAACTATTTAGATTAGTTTCAATTTTAACTAAAAAATTATTTTTATAATTGTTAGTAATTTTTTTGAATTTCTTAATTATTATTTATTAATTTCTAGCACTAAAAAAACTAAAATTTACCCAAATAAAGAAATAATTTAGTGAAAAGTGACTTAGAAAACCTTAAAAAATCTAGAAACTATTAAAAATTTTATCTAAAGCCTTTTAAGTTGGATTTTTTTTTGTTATACTCAACCTAGTCATCAATTTTTTGGTTTTTAGACTTAGCAACCAAAACGCAAACTGTTTAAAATTGATTCGGTTCAATTTTTAGTCAAACCTTACCCATCAATCATGGTTTTGTTGGTTTTTGGATTTTTTTTTTGTAGTTTCGTATTTTTTGATCCACCCTTAATTCCTAGAGTTGTGTGCACCTTTGTACATAGTGTTCCAATCATTTGTGGTTCGATGTTTTCTCTTTATCTTTCTAGCTTTGTTTGCCATCCTTCTCTCTTCTTCCTTCACATTACCACATCCTCTATACATAGTACTTGTCTTGATCTTTTCTTTTTTCCCTTTTTGTTGTCTTCTCTTTGTTTCCTTTACCATCCCTCCTTTCTCTTTGATCTAATTGTGGTGTTTTTTGATATAGTCCTTTAGCTCTTACAGCTCTTCTCTATTTTCCTTTCTTTTTCTATTTGTTTCTCTAAATCTACTTGTGGTGGAGATTTCATCACTAGAGATGTGGAGGAAGAGAAAAGAAAAAGGGGGGGGGGGATCTTTCATGTTTTAATTTGAGCTATAAAGCCATGACATCAACGGAGAAAGGCTAACTTCTTCGAAGAGTAGATTGAAAGGAGTCTAGCATGGAGCGAGGATGCATAACAATGGATGCATCTGTAGATCTGCTAGCTCTCACAGAGGTTGATGGGTGAATATTCACATCCTTTCTCTTTAGCTATATCTGATGTTATTAGGATCTACCCTTTCTTTTATTTCTCTTAGTTTGTGCATATTTTCTTGGTACTAAAACCCCCCAGTATCTAAAAACTAGATTGGGTTCTGTTTGTATGGATGTAAGGCCTTGATCCATGGGATAAGCCATTTCTTCATCTTGTAGATATCCTATGGCTTTGTAATATCCCAAATTTTCAAGAATTTTATCACTTAAGTTAGGGACTCATTTTGGGAAAAATATTATTTTGGGGCCTATTAGCTAAAATATCCAAAGTTGAGGGACTTAAACGAGTAAAAATTTGGAAAAGGATCAGCTATTTTTTCCCTTCTTTCTTTCTTCTTCAGCCCGATTATGCTCTTCTTCTTCTTTTCCCTGCACCGAACAAGAAGACCCAAGCCGACCCACACCTCCCCTTGAAAAAAAAACCAATAAATGTAATTGCACCAAACCAGAAGTTCTTCTTCAGTCCGCGCTTGCACTCCGGGATGACCTGCAAAGCCCCGAGGTGGAACTCGGGGTAGACACTCTGATGTTTAAGTCAGCAATAATCGGGGCTACCTTTAGGGCGGAGATAAAAAGAGCTTAGGGTTGGTTTCAATTACCTTTTTGACGTGGCCCGGGGGGGTATTTATAGGATCCAATGAGGAACCCACGTGTCATGCCAAGCAAGATAATCGGAGCTTGACGTGTCCATCCAGACGGTTATTCTGGGACCGGGAATTTGAGAGGTATTTAGATGCACGAGTGTCCACCATACTTGCTGTGCCACTCATCATAAGGAATCAGATGCGGGCATGCTTATTGTCACTGTCATGCAGCTAATTGAGCGGGAAGCTTTGGATTTATTCCTCACTTCGGTCATAAAGGAATTACTGTAGCAGTCTGAGGCTTGGCACCTCGGACCTATCCTTACACTATTCCCCCCCGAAGTCATTCACTTGTGAATGATATTGTTGGGGATAATGAGGGGAGTGCATGAACAAAGAAATTACGGATAAGTCATGGAGATATAAGGAAGAAAGCTTTAATTTAAAGTTAAACATAGCCGTAGCTAATAATGAAATACATATACATAGCCGTGGGTCATACTAGGGTGCCTTAAATAGAATATGACCGGAGCGATCACGGTTGTGGTCATGGGGAAAATAATGACCGGAGTCATAATGCAAAAGGTGATGACCGAAGTTATAATGGAGTCAAGGTCATAATAAAAATGATAACTAGAGTTATACAGGCCAAGGCCATGATGGAAAATGATGACCGGAGTCATAATGGTCGGAGCCGTAACAAAATATGATGACCGTAGTCATAAGGGCCGGAGCCGAGGTAGAGTATGTGACATGTGGTCGTAGTAACCAGGATCGAAGTAGAACATGTCTCTGTGGCCGGAGCCGAAGTAAAACACTTTGCTCGTCAAAAAGTGTAATGGTAAAAGTAAGCAGAAGTGCTGAGCTAGGCTTAAAATACGATGACCGGAGTCATAATGGCCGGAGCTGTAATAAAATATAATGACCGTAGTCATAATGGCCGTAGCCGAAATAAAATATAATGCATGATTATTGTGGTCGAAGCCGAAGTGAAACACTTGCAAAATTGAGAATGTATAAAAGTGAACAAAGGTGTTGAAATGGGTGTAAATGGGCCTGTGTAAAAATACTGACATAGGTGTGACAGGTGTCCTTGGACTGACGTGCGCAATAAATGCGGCCGTAAAAAGATAACTGCTACAGCCAAACGGGCAAAAATTAAAAAACGAACCGTCAAATTCAAAACGGTACCGTGTGGGGTTGGCCGTCGAATTCTAAACGGTGCGAATAGGAACCATAAGATTAGATGAATCTCAACCGTTGAGATCTAATTTGGCCCAGAAGTATAAATAGGCATTTTTTCCGCAAAAAGAAGTTTACTTGCTTTTTGTTTTCCTGCAAAACTTCTGCGAGAAGCTTTACTGTACGTTTCCGGTGCGTGAACTGCAGCATCAACTGGGGAACTCTACGTCAAGTCTTTCAAAACCGAAATCAGGTAATGTAGACAAAACTCTGATTTTAAGTTAATCGAAGTGTCTCTCTCCTTTCTCCCTTTCTGTGATTGATTTAGAGTTCTTTGAAGGAAGTTAGGGTTAAAGATGAGAGGGATTTTGAATGTGCAACAAAAAAGGGGGGTTTTTTTTTTATGGGATCCTGATTTATTCCTCCCCCTACTTCGTGCAGAGTTTGAAAAAATGTCCTCAGAAGGAGCAGAAAGTGTAGTTGGGAGTGAGGTGATGCCCCTGGACTATGGGAGCATGGACGCAGAGAGTAGTCCATCTCCAACTAGTTCGGAGAAAACAGTAGAGGGGGTGAGAGGAGATGAGGGGGTGGAGGTTGGGGAGAGAGAGGTGGTAGAGGTGGGGAGGGATGAGGTGGTAGGGGTTAGGGTAGATAGCATACCTATCACCGTAGTAGAAGTAGAGGGTAGAGGATAGAGGAATTACGATGTGAATGCAGAAATAGTGGAGGAGGTGAAGCAGTACAGATCTGAGCTAAGGACCTGGGATAGCCTGGGTCACTTAGTAGAAAATTACGAAATCTCATCTTGAGTGTTAGTTAGGCCAGCTGGGGTAGAGGAAAGGGCGTGTTCTGCTCCTCGGGATCACTGGATGCCTGTGTATTCCCACTATTTGATAGCGGGACTCAGGTTTCCACTTCCTGAGTTGCTAATAGGTTTACTATTAGATTACAACATAGGGTTGACACAGTTGGTCCCCAACGCAATGAGGGTAATAATAGGTTTTTTAGTTTATTGCCGAGCTCAAGGGATTAGTGTGCCGACTGTAAATATGTTTAAGTACTTTTTTGTTTTAAAGGGGGGAAGTAGGAGGGATAAAGGGTGGTATTATTTCACCCCTAGGGTAGCTAAGAAGGAAAGTAGGGTTTTATTCACTGTAGGTCCTTCATCCATTAAGGGATGGAAGGAAAAATTATTTTTTGTGGACAATACAGAGTGGGGGAAGGGGGATACCGAGGTGAGGGAGTTAGCCTCCTGGAAGGCCAAAAGGGCCAACCAGAATAGGTTTAGCTTAAATGAAGATGAGGAGGAAGAAGTGAGGAAGTTGGTGAGGAAGGGGGGAGATGTGTTGAATATCATGGACCTCACCAGCGCAGCATGCATAGAAGTTGCTGAGCTCTATGGGCCAAGCACACTGAGTGAAGGTTTGTGAAACATGCACTGTAGCGTTGAATGTAGAACATAGAATTGTGATTAATATTGTGTTTCTTGCTTTGCAGCTGAAATGGATCAGTTTTTAAATACTGTTGGAGGAGCGCCCATCCCCAAGAAGCCAAGGAAGAAGTCAAAGACTTCGACCAAGCAAGTGGATGAGAGGAGGGCTGGGAAGGAGATGGTGCCCTTGGCTTCAGCTGAGACGGAGGAGGAGGTGCTGTCGCTGAAGAGGAAGGGTTGGGAGGAGAGGAAGGCACTGCAGAAGAAGCAGAAGGTGGTGGAGGAGGATGAGGGGGTTGAGGTTCCTGAGTTCGTACCTCAACCTTCTCCTGTTGAGCTGGACCTTGAGCTCAGACAGTTGGAGGAGGGGGCTGAGGTACGAGCTCTTGGTAAAGGGAAGGGGCCTATTCCCCCACTGGGGCCTCAGAGCAGCCTGTTCGAGGCGAAGAACATAACGGGGGCCAGGTGGTTCATCAACAACACCTTCCCCGAGGTGGACCAAAGCAACGTGCGGCAGGAAGCTCTGAGGTATGGTGGAGCATCTGTTGTGAAGCACGTTCTAGAGGTAAGTTAAAGTAGTAATGTTTTTTAGTGAACCTGCTTCATTTTTTCCTCGTTCAATGTTGTTTTTAACCTCAGTTTTGATCTGCAGAGCGTGAGCTGGGTGAATGGTCTAGCCCAGGAATTCAGGGAGAGCCTGAAGGATCGCGCACTCTTGCAGAGGCAGCGAGACCAGCTGCAAAAGGAGAAGGAAGTGTTGGAGAAGAAAAATAAGGAGCTGCAAGAGTCTCTGAACGAGGTGGTTCCAACTGTTTCACAGTTGGAACAGGAGAGGTCTTCCCTGAGCACCAAGCTCGCTTTTGAGGAGAGCAAACGAAGGATCGCTGAAAGCGAGCGTGAGGCTCAGGCGCAAGAAATGAAGCTGATGACGGAGGCATTCAAGGAGCTGAAGGGGAACATGCGGAAGTTGGTGCATAACGGAATGAAGGAGCACATCAGCAACTTCATCAGTTCCAGCTCGTTTGATAGCATCGTCAACCTGTACCAGCTGCCCACTGCCATCATTGCCTTCACAGACTGCAGAAATAAGGTGAAGGCTGAATATCCCGAAGTGGATGTGACGAAGATCACCTTCGGCGAGCAAGAAGAAGGAGTGGAGGAGAATGGCGAGAGCATGTCAGCAGACTTCCGTCCTTAAATTAAGCTGAGGTGGGAGAATGATGCAGACGGTCTTGCTTTTTTTCCTCCACAGTTCGACTTCGAGTTCGTTGCAGTGGAGGAAGAAGGGGCAGAGGTAGAGGAGGGCGAGATGGAGGCAGGAGTGGAGGGAACTGAAGTGGGTAAGGTGCAACCAGCTCCAGAAGTGGAGATTCATCCAGTTCTTTCTGACGATGAGTAGCCTCCTCTGCCAGACGAGCAGCAGCCAACACAGCCACCTCCTCCAGCTGAGTAGGAGCTAATGCAGTCACCTCTCCAGCAGAGAACTTTTGTTTTTTAATTTTTGTAGAATATTGAAACAATTTGTAATTCTTCCTTGAATGAAAATTCATTTTTAAAATTATGTGTTTGTTTGTGTTTGATTTACATTTTTGTTATTATTTTTTATTAATAAAAGACTTGAGATTTATTTGAGACGTGATTTGAAAGAAAGTTAACCAATTCAGAAGTGAACCAAAGGGAAGTAAATCACTTTAGACAGATTAAGAAGAAGTAAATTACTTCAGATAAATTAAGAACAAGTACATTACTGCAAATGAATTAAAAGGAAGTAAAGCACTTCATATGTGAAGTGGCATTTATTAATTAGAAGTGAGGTTCAAGGAATGAATAGACTGATTGACCTCGGATACATAGAATAAGACGTAAAATGAATCTCGACAAATATGAAATAAGAACTGTAAGACATAGATCTCTTGAAAGAATTCTATTAGGGGTAAAATTTCTTCAAGTTATTGACATTCCAGACTCTAGGAACTCTCTTTCCTTCAGCGTCTTGGAGGACATAGGCACCAGGATGTGGCACCTCAGCCACGGTACAAGGGCCTTCCCAATTCGGGGCGAGTTTGCCAAAACGAGTTTCAAACCCTGTTAGGCCAGCTTTTTTGAGAACAAGATCTCCTACTTTGAAAGTTTGAGGGCGGACCCGTTTATTGTAGAAGTTGGCTAGCTTTTGCTTGTATACAAGAGTTTGAAGCCGAGCTTCTTCTCTAACTTCAACAAGCAGATCAAGGTTTTCCCGAAGCAGTTGTCCATTTCGCCCTTCATCAAAATGGGTGACCCGGAAGCTTGAGACTCCTATTTCAACAGGAATGACTGCTTTGGTACCAAAGGCTAGGTGGTAGGGTGTTTCACCTATTTCAGTTAATTATAACTTTAGAATGCGCTTTATGCATTATGCATATTTGCTCTAAGGTAAAGCGTAACAGAAGAAGTAAAATACTATAGAAATTAATCAAATAAACTTGGTTTAAAGCAGTACCTGTGGCAGTTCGGCTCGTGGTTCTGTATGCCCAGAGGACGTTGTTGAGCTTGTCTGCCCACTTGGCTTTATGCTGCTCTAATCTCGGCCTTATTCCTTCCAAAATGCATTTGTTAACAGATTCCACCATGCCATTGGACTCCGGATGGTAGACGGAGGTGAACTGTACCTTGATCCCATAACTGGAACAGAAATCTCGAAATGAGGAGCAATTGAATTGAGTTCCATTATCAGCCACAATTTGATTCGGGATTCCATATCTGCAAATGATCGAGCTAAAAACGAAATCTTCGACCTTCTTGGAGGTAAGACTAGATAAAGGCCGAGCTTCTACCCACTTTGTGAAATAATCCACACCAACAACCAGATGGGTTACACCACCAACCCCTTTCACGAATGGACCTAAAAGATCTAGTCCCCACTGTGCAAATGGCCATGGTGCTACCAAGTTCGTGAGTTCTTCTGCAGGTTGGTGAGTTAGATGTGCAAAGAATTGGCACCTCGGACATTTCTGAACAAAGTGAGTGGCATCCTTATACATGTTTGGCCAGTAATATCCCTGCCTTAAGACTTTGTGAGCCAGAGTTCTAGCACTGACGTGGCTCCCACAGACACCTTCATGTACCTCTCGAAGTGCATACTCGGCTTCGTAGGGATTCAAGCATCGTAGAAGAGGAAGTGAAAAAGATCTCTTATAGAGGATCCCATCAACAAGTGTATACCGAGATGCTTTCTTCCTCAACTTCATCGCCTCTTGCCTGTCCTCAAGTACTATTCCATCTCGCAAAAAGGAGATAATTGAGTCAGTCCAGCTCGGTGTGTCAGGGTTTGTGCTAATCTCCATCATCCGGGGCTTCATGAAGCTTGGTTCCTCTAAGACCTCCACAAAAACGGATCTAGAACTTAAAGAGCTATCAGAGGCAAACTTGAAGAGTAAATCTGCCTGTTCATTCTCAGCTCGGGGAATTTTACTCAAACAGAATTTCTGGAATTTGCACTTCAGCTCGGCCACCAAGGCTACGTACTTTACCATCACAGGATCAACAACTTCATAGATTGAGTTGATTTGGTTTACCACCAACTGGGAGTCATTGTACACTTGAATTACACTGATTTGCAACTGCAATGCTAGCTGTAGACCAAGTAGCAGAGCTTCATACTCAGCCATGTTATTTGTTGCACCAAAATTGAACTTCAGAGCATGTTCGCCTCGATATCCCTCTGGACCAACCAAGAGAGCGCCAGCCCCTGAACCCTTGCTACTAGATGCTCCGTCAACATATAAGGTCCAGTCGTTGGGCTCTGGATTAGAGTTTGAAGGACATGGGGTGCATTTGATAATAAAATCTGCTAATGCTTGAGCTCGGATGGCCGATCTCTGCTGAAATGTTATCTCAAACTCTCCCAGCTCTACTGCCCACTTAATTAGTCTTCTAGAGCACTCTGGTTTCTGCAGAATTTGCCTGAGAGGTTGGTCGGTGAGAACGATAATTGGGTGTGACTGGAAATATGGCCTCAACTTCCTGGCTGAAGTGACGACTGCTAATGCTGCTTTCTCAGCTATAGGATATCTCAGCTTTGCTCCGTGCAGCACGCTACTGATATAATAAATTGGTTTCTGCTGCCTAGCTTCTTCTCTCACCAGAACTGAACTAATGGCCTCATCTGAAATCCCCAGGTACAAGTATAGAAGCTTTCCATCTATAGCTTTAGTCAACAGAGGCGGTGAGCTAAGATAAGACTTTAGTTCTTCAAATGCAG